GCCGCCGACGGCTTTGTGCCGCCTCTCGGCCAAACTAACTTATTAACCGACAACTTTAGAACAACTCAACATGATCATTATACTGAAAAAATTTAAGACTTAATCACACGGATGTTCGAGACTCTACTGAAAGCAATACTACACGGCCCACGGCCACCCGAGGCCACGCGTTAAGCGTTGGCGACGGCTGGGGCCAGGACGTCAACAAAAACTCATTTTCCTCCGACAAAGCTGATCTTAATAAACATCAAATAGGCTGAGCTGGACAATTACACATTAACAGTTCGCAAGTTGTCGGGAAAAAAAATCGGAATTTGCTCGGTTATAATCTTACTCAATTATGTTCGGCCTTTACATGATTTTATCTAAAATTCCCGAAAATAAACCGAACATATAGCCTTAATATGATCTTTTTAGCTGAATTACTAAGTAAGGGAGAGGTTACCTCTTAGCTCGTCCGATCGAAATAGGAAAAACGGAGCGTGATTCCTCGTCCTTACTCGCCGTGCGTTAGCTTCTTGTTTTGCCGTGTGATTTGGAGAAATATTGAGGGAAGTTTGCTTGAATTTATTTGTTGATGAAGTAGGCTTTAGGTACTGAAGATATTGGCTGATTCCTAAGGGAAAAACGTGACCAAAATTTATGCTAAGGACCTCTTTTATACTTGGCCGTGGATGGAATTGGGGTGACAAAGGTCTATCGTGGCCTTCTCCTTTGCTTAGCACTTGTAATCTCCTTGGCTTAATTAGGATGATTAAGCATCTTCTACATATGACACGTTTCATGCTAAAAAGTTGAAGGAAAAATGGGGTTTCCCCCAATCTCAAGCAAGCTACGGCTTTGGAATTATTGGGGAGGATTTTTCCTCTAATGGCACGGCTTTATGCTTTAAGGTGATATTAATCACCATTAATTACTAATCTTTATGTTTAACTATTAATTAAACATAATGCTTAATTACCAAAATTATTTCGGACGTAAACGGTACGTCGAAAATAGATTTCGGTAATTCCGACTGAACTTAATTAATTCCGAAAATAATAAACTATAACATTATTATATCGGAACTAAAACGTAATTTATACCGATAAAATATCGGGATATTACAATCCTCCCTCCTTACAAAATTTCCGTCCTCGGAAATTCAAAACATTACTACTATACATGAATTATGTACATAGGATAACAGAATATGTACATCAAAACTGGAAATCTGGGAAACGAGCGCGAATGTCAGACTCTTCCTCCCAAGTAGCTCCGTGGCGATCCCACTGAATGCGCACGAGGGGGATATCTCGCTTCCGAAGCCGACGGACCTGACGGTCTAGTACAGCTACCAGTCGTTCCTCGTACGACAAATCTGGCTGAACGTGAATATCCGTGTGAGGGATGACATGATCGGGGTCGCACACGTACTTACGCAACATGGATGCGTGAAATACATTATGAATGCCTGACAACTCGGGAGGTAGGGCTAGACGATA